GCCGGCTAAACAGTAGGCAAGTGTTCTTCATTTTGGAACTCAGCAACACATTACCACATGAGCTAGACTTTCCAGGGATGAATCAAGGAAATGTAACACCTGCAAATGTTCTCTTTGGCACTCATATACAAATACATTACAAGTAGCTCCATGAACAAAAAAAGCACAGAAACGAATAACTCTAATGGATGCCTCTTAAAATGTAACTGAAAAAAATCCAAATGTTACTTTTTGGACTCACTTTGCATATCTTGACTCTCTCTTCCAATGTCAAGGCTAAGGGGGAAACAATGAGAAAAGGCATCATGAAAACATGGAGGGAACCGAAACATGGCATTGGCACATACCAAACCACAGCCCCGTACTAAACTGTCCACCTAAAGCAGGGGTGTCAAAACTCATTTTTGTCGCCGGCCACTTTGGATTTAGGTATCGGAAGGCCATTATGACAGTCAGACCATAAAAAAAATGTTTAATCGTCTCATCGCGTTATTACTTGTACACAACAAATTAATGGATTATGAGTTTTGAAATCAGTTAAGTCAACGACAATAGTTTGTCCAAGTGAGTGTCACTAAATCACCATAATGCAAAATCTCAACATTATTTATTAGACATTACAATTTGACATTTCGGTACAGATTTTAACAAGGATCATTCAAGTTGACATCCGATTTTTTTCTCAGGGGGCCACATAAAATGACATAGCGGGCCGGATCTGCCCCGTGGGGCTTTCGTTTGACACCTGTGACTTAAAGTGTCGCTTAACGTTCTACAAATTTGGGGGCCAAGATGTGTTGGTGATGCGCACAACGATGAAACAATCCAAGAAAGGTTGGGCCAGAGGACTATTTTCAGCATTGTGGCACTTCTTAAGATGTGATTACCTCTGTTGGGACTGTTAAATGGTTCTATAAGGAAAATGAAATATTTATTAACTTCTTTAATAATTCATTCAGAAGAATGGCAATATGTGGTTTGGGCATAGAAGATCAACGCATAATGAGTGCATGCTCAGCGTATTTGGTCATTGAAGTGTTTTTAGTCCATGATAGCAAAGGAAAGAATTAATTAAAAGTTCCTTTTGATTTCTTTCATTCCTTAAGTTAAACGAAAGGATAAAATGGATGCTTCCCAAGCAATTTCCACTAAAGGCCATCGAGAGGACGTATAAGTAACCACAGCGTAAACTATAGTTTTTTTTTTTTTAATTATAGATCAAGTACATGTTTAGGGAAGCGAATCATACTTTGTTCTGTACTTCCCCATTTCAATTTTGAGCCTTAATTTTACTTTACCACGCCTCAGTCAAACTGCAGAATGAATTGATGTTTTTATATGGAGTCAAGCCATGATAGAAAATATCTCTGGGGCTCTCCAGATGTTGCATCAAAACTAGTCGGAATTTTTTTTTTTTTACCACTGAGGTACAGTAGAAGTGTTTACCATAGCACCAGGCATATTGTTCATACAAAAGACTGTCAAACTCATTTGCTCACGGCACAGAGCTCCCTTTTGGCTTTCACATGAAGCAACCCCTTTCTGTAATTATCAATTGTGACAGCCGTAATTACTGGAAGACTGCTGCACTGCATGAATGACATGGCTTTTGTGTTATAATTCTGTGCATCTTGACAAACATAACCCATTAAACAACCCCGTGGCCTTTTTCCCGAGCAGTGATTACGCTAATTAAACCTGCAAAACATTTGAGAGCTGCAGACGTGCCAGAATTAAACAGGTCATTAAATCAACTGAGTATGTCAACATCCACACAGCTTGTCACTCCTCCGATACGCTATCACCAGAAAAAGGAAACTAATGTGTTGTATGACATGCAAATTTTACCTGAAGAACAAACCATATTGACACAGTTACAGATATTCTGGAATATCATTGCTGCTACTGTACCTGGTTCTGCCGCTCCATGCATGTCTTGACTGCCAGCATCTTACGCCCTTGCTGTGATATGCCGCACCGTCTCTGGGGCTTCTTTTTTCAGCCTCCAATGAGGGTCCTGTCTGATATGGTAAACCCGGGGCTCTAATGATCTTGTTTTTATGGTCTTGTGCTTCTATGATTATTGCCTCTATGCTGTCTTTCAATCCAGGCTTTTCCAACCATTGGTATGTTTTCTCAATGTCAGCCACTTCTTCAATTTGTCAGGACTAATGGAAGGGGAACCGCTGCTTGAGTCCACCAACGAGTTATGTGTGACCTGGTGTGTTGCCCAGGTGACTCCTATCAGTCTAATCAGCATCATTTATCAGCTGCTTGACAAACAATATGCCTGTATACCATACCATACCATTTTCTATCGCTTATCCAGAATCGGTCCGCGGACGCAGCAGCTTTAGCAGGGAAGCTCACTATTCCCTCTCCCCAGCCACATCTTCCAACTCTTCCAGAGGGATTCCAAGGCGTTCCCAGGCCAGTCAGGAGACATTAGTCTCTCCAGTGTGTCCTGGGTCGTCCTCTGGGCCTCCTCCCAGTAGGACATGCCCGAAACACCTCACCAAGGAAGACAAGGAGGCATCCTAATCAGATGCCCGAGCCACCTCATCTGGCACCTCTCAATGTGGAGAATTAGCGGCTTGACTCTTGAGTCCCTCCCGGATGAGCGAGCTTCTTACCCTATCTTTAAGGGACAGCCTGGACACCCTGTGGAGGAAACACTTTTTGGCCGCTTGTGTACGAAAGAAAGAGTGTCCGCAGCTACCGTGGGCTGATTTTGCTTCCGCTATCTCTGTGGGATGGGGTGAGCGCAGCAGCCCCTCAAAATGAGCAATTTGCTCCTCAAATGAAGTGGTTGATTAGCAAAATTGCTAACTCACAGAAGAAAAAGTTATTTTGAGCCTTTTGAAGTCAAAAGTCTCCCAACCTCTCTACTCCTGCTGTACATATTTCATTTCTTGAAAGTTTTCACAAGACGCGAACATTTTCCGCTTCCACGTTTGCGTTCCACTTTGTGTGAGGTGTTTGGAGAACCAACAATATCTTTGCGATCTTCCCTATGCGCTAATCCTATTCTACCTGCTGATAGCAGCAAGCGATAGTGCCGATGTCTTATTATCACCAACATATGTTCCCCTTTCATACCAGAGAAGCCTCCCAACCATTTAATGGGATTGTTGTTGTTTTCTTTTCCTCCTCTCCCTTTACACCCGCTCCGCACAACAAACACTTTTCCTCGAAGACGTTCGACATGTGCCCAGGGAATTTGTCTCCGTGTTCCCCAACAAATCAGCCTAGGTCAGGGGCTAAGATTGGCCTCCAGTTACAGACTATTGAAAACAGCTCCTCCACATGACAAGGGGGGAAAGTGGATTTTCCAGCTTAAAAGCAGAATCATCTCTGCTCAAGGCATTATCTTGTGTTCAAAGAGATTAATAACAGGCGATGCTATGGATAGGGTGGCGCGCCATTCTTAAATCAGCCCTCCTCATATTCACTGACAACATACTGCTTTGAATACTATCTGGCTAGCTTTGATGAAAAAAAAACATGTCATTTATGAACAAATAGGAACAATTTGGACTTTTGTTGGTTGATTCTTCTTTCGGTGAAATGAGACGGTGAAGTGCTAAAATATGATTTGGATCTCGAGAAACGATAGGTTAGTAAATTTATCTTGGAGCGTTACAGTGAAGTCCTGCTATATTGCAGGTCATTGTTTGCAACCCACTCTGTCACCGATTTGTAAGGACAGCAATCTGTTTTTACATGTTCTGTTTTTATGTGTTTATGCTCCGCTTGCATCTTGTTCGTGGCCACTCTTCCCTCGGAATGAGACAATCTTCGGAGGAAGACATGGCTGGACATTGTTGTAAGCAAACTGTAGGTGATGGCGCAAACCGCGATTGTGATTACCCCGCAAAATGAGTTTGACACCCCTGCTTTAGCTGATGCAACTTTTACTACAGTTGATTAGTATTTGCCATGATCGTTTTATAAAATCCAACTGGGAAACTGCAGGGGAAGTCTGAGGAAAAAAAAATCCTCTGCCGAGAGAGCTTTTTGTGATCTCTGCAGTAAATTACTCGGTTGTGATATCCAAAGTCATCCAGAACTTTTGAAGGCTGGAAAATTCAGCTTCTTCACTTCTCAGTCAAGATGTTTTTCATTGCAGTCATCAAAGCGAAGAAATCCCATGTTGTATTTTATGAGTTTGGACTCACGTCTCATTACCGAGATAATTAATAGTTTAATTAGCACACATTCTAGGCAATTTACAGCATCGTACCCACATACAAAATTCACAGGATTCACTTGAATGCGAAAATCGCTTCTGCATAATTCTGTTCATGAGACCTGACGTACCACAATGGCCACCAAACGACTGATGTTTTGTTCATAACCTCGCATACTGGTTCGGCCAACATAATGGCCAAAATATGTTGAAGACCAATAACGTCAGTGAATGAATTTTATTTCTTGTTCCCTTAACGCAAGCAATTATTTCCCACGTTTGGAAAAATAACTACATGAGCATTCTGAATACAAGCGATCATCCTTCCGAAGCTGTTTAGAATTAACGGTTGCAAGAATGGGGAATGATCATTTAGAAGCGGCTTTATAGGCAAAAAGCAGAAACAAAGATCAAAGTCACAATTTTTGACTGGTTAACACGCTGAAGAGCGCTCATTGCACAAAGAGCGCCGAGTGGATGCTTCAAGAAACGCGCGCCTGTTGTTCAGATACAGAAACAATGGTATGTCTCGCAGCATGGGAGACGGCCAACAGCAAAGCAAAGCCTCCGTTTCATGTCTCTTGTGCACTCCCCCCACAGCCCCCCACTCAGCCGTTCTCTCAACTTCCAGTTTATGTTAGCTAACAACAATTTACAGCAAGCAAATTTCATTTTCTTCACACAAATCCTATCGCACATTATCCTGTACATTGCATTAGGGGCCTAATCTTTCCTTTCTCTTCCCCGGGAGAAGAAAGGAGCGCCTTCATGATTAACCCACTTTACAGCAATAAATAAACGCATCATCCAGTAATGTACAGCAGATTTAATTTGAAGGCCAGAACCGCTCAAATCACCGAAGTGTAATGGAAAACTAACACAATGCAGACTCCAATGGACGCCTAGGGAATTAATTTGAATGGGATTTTTTTTTTTCCTCGCTTTTAGATGGATTTTCTATTCCGCCCTCAACCAACACACAGTCTTGCGGGTGTTAATTCTTTTAAATGTGCAAAAAATAAAACTAAATCATATAAGTTTCCATAAGAAACAGTTTTATTCACTTAACATTAAAAAAAAAAAAAATCTTTTGACTTCTCTTGGTCACATGTAACCCATGTTGCTTTTGGTTTCCCAGCGTTTTTTTGCCTCGAACCTGAAAAACAAACAAACAAACAACAATGCATTACTGTAAACTTGACACACACATTCAAACTGTCAGCTTTCATCTCATAATGACGAATGATTCAAAGTATCCGGACTTCGGCAACTCCATTTTAACTGTACTTGACACCATGAAAGATGGGATGGCAGACACAAACATGAGGACAGAGACGTCGTACCCCCAAGCTATTTGCCTCTTCTTTTTCTTCGCTGCCCTCAAAGCGTCCTCTTCCTGTTTGCGCTGCACAAAGTCACGGCAATCAGTGGCTTTGGCGATTTTCACAGCAAGCTATTTAGAGAGAGAGGAGAAGTCCAATAGAAAATGGAAATCAGTCTGAGGCATAAAATAAAAACTGTCTGACTGATGCGTCAGGGTGCTTTCTTGTCACGGTCTCTGCTGCCTCCTCCACACCACAGCGGGGTTCAGCATCCAACACAGCATTTGAGGGCTAAGCAATTAATCACATTTAAATCGATACTGCAATGAAATAGGATGTGTGTGTACGTGTGTGTGTGTGTGTGTGTGTG